GAGCAGCCAAAACGACTTTCCCATGTGCGAATGTTGAAAAGGGACGTCGTAAAGCGAATAATAAACTGCAAGAATAAGAATCAATTACACCGCCACCCGCAGCACGGTATGACATTTAGAAAACGTTTAACTTTGTTATCATACTCAAAACAAGTTAAAAATCAACAGACTACTCGTAGCTATAAAATAAGATTTTTTTTAGAAAAGTGTTCTCCTTTGCCTGTCCCTTCTTCTTATTCCTTTCGCAACTGTCGAGGAATATATCAGCTTTTTTCAAATTTTACGTGACAATATTTGTTTTATTTCTCATAAAATTTTTCGCGGGAAATTGACGCATCAAAAAATTTATACAATTGCGCATGCCCGAGGTTTGAATGGTGTTCCTACATTGTGCGTATTGCCTCAGTCGCTCCATTTCTCTGCGGGCAAGGCACCTAATATATATTCATCAACCAATCGGATCTCGCGAATTTGAGCAGGTGGCTTCAAACGCTCGTAAGGTTTCCTTGGTGACAATAATTACAAAATCAACAGGAACCTTTTCGATAGTTTCACTCCTCTGTGAGCCTTGACAAATGCAAGTAATCAATAATCCTACAAATTTGCGAGCGTTGCTTTGAGACCTGAGTTGGGAAACTAAATGATTAGGTTTCGCTTTTTGCGGCTTAATGAATTCTCTCCTCTCTACCAACTTCTCCATCTTGATTACAGTCACTCATTTATTCGTCACTTGGTAAATAAAACATTCTGGTTTCGATGAAGATCGGCATTTATTAATAAATAATGATTTTGTAGGTTATTGGTCAAATTATGCACAGCGGCCTGTTAACGCTAATATGCAGCTCTCCAGTTTTTGACGAAGTTTCTCCGCGAGACGAAATTCGTTTGACGTTGAATTAGGCAAGGTTGTTATCGTATTTGTGGTTGCAATCGCACCGGCTTCGAAGGAAAAATCTTTCATTTTTACCGTTACTTACCCCAAGGATTGAAAATGACTGGCTTGTATAAGGTAGGAGGAATAAATTTCACTGGGGAATGAACCAGTATGGTCCTCAAATTTCGAAAAATTATCGTCATGATCGTTCATGCGGGCCACGTAAATATGATGAATAAATTCTTATATCTCTTCGCTAGCGTCAGGTATCTGTATCCCTATGAAGACACAAATGAGTTATGATCTTTCTTATTTTGTTTTTCACTTGACTTAGGTTGTGTGTCTACTTTATACGTGCTTTGGGCCGTTTTTATCCTGCACCACGTCAGGTAAATTTAATCCGCTCGTTATTGCACAAATTATCGCTTTCTAAATTGCCGTATTTTCCCGTTACTAAAATCCAAGATACGTAAACTCTTAACGACGTTCCCGGCAACCTTGTGCTTTCGACTAAAGTCCGTAACTTTATCCGGGGGATGGCAACAACTGTTGCCCTCAAGTCAGTATCTTGCGACAAGCACTTCTTTATGTAAAAGTGAGAGGAACATCTTTCAATTAGAAGTTCTACTTCGCCTTCCACGAGCGCCTTCTTTTTCAAAATTATGTTTGAAATTATAAAGCGAATGTTACATCGCAGCTTTGCAAACGGTTTTGAACTATATCTGGCTTTTGTTTTGAAAATTTCTTAGCTTCTTGTTTGAATTCTTTCTGTCAGAAGCAGGTGATGTCAAATTGTCATTGCCATATGGAAATTATTCGCGAAGGGCTTAAATTAAGAAGAAAGAAATACAATTGGAACAATTCATGAAAATTTTCGTGCCGTTTTTTATTAACACAGATGGTTAGAATTATACTTAAATATCATACATTGGCTTTACGATGTAACAGAGAACGATAGAATTTTATTCATTTGAAATTGACCCAAACAAAGTCGAGCGCGGATTAGCGCTTGTTTTGGGAATCGTCTTTCGGTTGTTTTATATCCGCTCTCTGAAAAGTAAATAGGCTTTACACGGCTCACGTTTGAAATATCTACCAAAGTTAAAGCATAAATATCTCATCTATCGTTGTTAGTTACATTTTCTTTTCACTGCAACGTTTTCATTACGCTTTCTCGTTATTTGCGCTTCGAGCATTTATCGTCAAGCATTACTATTAAAAGGCGGTGCAGGTTGTTTTGCTTCGTTTGCGATTCTCTTTTTTTTTCTCCGCCAATATTTTGCTCTGAAAGATTGTTCAAAGCCCTAGGGGGCGTGGGATAATACAGATTCTTATTATAAACCTGCACGGAATCTCTATACGCCTCAAAACATCATTAATTTTGAGTATAGCCCCAAGGTTGTTGTGTTAAAAGTCTTGAAGTATCATTAGAATTAAAACTTGTGGGCAACTTATATAGGAACAATAAGTAATTTTTGCGGTAAATTCCTTACCACGTCTGTGATTATCGGTTATAGAGTGCAATTTTCTTTTATATTACTATCTTGTAATCATTTTCGCCTGAACGATAAATCTTCTTTGAAGGGTCTATGAATTTTAAAGTTGTGCCGCACGAAACACAGTCTGCTGCCGTCTAGAATATGGATTCTTCAGAAACAAGTTGCAGTAGACCGTTAAACGCAAGATGTTAATTATTCTCACAGAATATTTACATAGCTGCATTGAGGCGGCGTAAATGGGAAGGAAAAACTGAGAGCTCTGTTGGCAATATTTATTCAAAGCGATATCTGTTTTTCGTTCCATCTTCCTAAATACATCCACTCAATGTTTTTCATTCATTACGCACCCTTCCTCGCCAAAAGAAATGACATATATTTTTAAAAAGCTCTTCACCTGTGGTGTATTTATTTAAGTCAGTTCTGGGCGGAGCAGTGACCAGTCTACTTTAATAAGTTTTCATTTATTAAATATAATTGCGGACTTCTAGCAGAAGTCAAAATTAATCTGATCGAGGTATGCTGTTTTTTTCTCTCTTTATTTTCTTATTTTCACTGAGTAACTTGTATTTGATACAAATTTGCTAGAATTGCTTTAATTCGTGTTTCTTTTGAGCGATGACAATTTTTCACTGAAAATTCACTGGAAATTCCCACTGTGAGGATTGATGTAAGCGCTGCTGTTTTAGAAATTTGGTCTTGAAATAAACCAAGACAACGATTTGCATCTGAACTAGACTATGAATCACCTCTGTCTCTCAGGCAAAAAGTCTCACAAGAAATCTACCAATTAATATTTTCGAGAGATCAAACTCTAGGGAAAATTGAAACTGAAATAGTGATTGATCGAAGAACTAATCAACAAAGATGAGTATTTATAAAAAATTTAAAGGGCAAAGTCAAAACTACAAGGTGATTATTCATAGAGAGAAAGCTTCATTAACTAATTTATTTTTTTGCAAAAAACGTGCCGATAAAAACACTATTGTTTCAAAAGATCATACGCTCTTTTTTAGTTTTTTTTTCCCTTTATCAATCATAAATTGATGTAATAAATATGAGAACTTCACGGTTAGTTTAATTCTGACTCACGCTAGCCGAGGGGTTGTAGTGTTTCTGACTAGTGCTGCTTTTAATTTGAAAATTTCAGTGTTAGAACCTTCGCCGACTGTGACCTCTAATTTGGATGTCACTGCGACTCCGACATCCGGGACTGCAGCCAGGACTGCTAACGTGACAGTCAGTCCTTCTTCGACTTTAGTTTTTGCCCAGTCGTCCGTGAGCCAGACAGATGTGAGTGGTTACCACTTTTCATGAATTATCACAAATTTCTGTCCGTCCGTCCCAAAATTTTTGATCATCCTTCTAAACACTTTTACCGTCAATGTTTAACTGGGGCCTACTTCAATACGAAATGTTGCCTTGTTCCATTAAATGGGCATGCATACATTTAAAACTGCGCCGAAAATTACCAGTGAATTTCTCTCTTTCTAAGAAAGCTTTCCTTTCTGCCATCTACACCTAGCCGACGTTCTCTTATTTCTCCATTTGAAGAGGATGGTTCAATAACAAACTTCTGTTTTTGCAGCGAAGCTTTATTCTAGGTTATTGATAGTGGGAAGAGGCGGAAGGACCTAGGAAAAAAAGGCCAACTTTTTCTAAGAGCATACGGGGATGGTCTTTCGAATGGCGGTTAATGGTAATCCAGGATTAAAAAGTTAACCTATCCTTGATTTCTCTTTAAATTTAGGGTATATTTGGGCTTACTTTTTAAGAGGTTTTACAATAGTGTATAACAAAACTGAAGGAAAAATTATAAATTATTAAAACTGTCTGCAAAGCATCAAAACTAAATCAAAAATTGTTGAGTAACCCTTAGTTAGCTTAATCTTCCTTTGAACAACCCGGCCCATGTGTGTATATAGTCAAGGATATCTGGACTTGGAATAGACATCACATGATTGTAAGCCTTTTATTATTTTCAATATAGGACAGCGACAACCTGTTCAAACAAGCTGCAAAAGAACTCGAGGGAACGCTGAGACGTAATGTTGAAGAGGTGTCTACTCTTTTCATTTGTATATGTATTTATGATCTCCTCATCTTAACACAATCTGTGGATGTTGTCTAACCGAAGAACTTTTATAATATTTAATAATGTTTTTTAATGTTGTAGATCGAGTAAGGATTACTATTTTCAAAAACGGGCTAGCGACAATATTTCTCAGCAAAATAAATATTAAAGGAAAGTAAATGGATTTACCGAAAGGGTACCTGGTAAGAATCATCCACAAATTCCGCCCATAAGTCTCACCAGAAGACAAACCAGGTTGAGGGCAGCGGCTAGCTATTATGAGCCTGAAGATCCTGCTGTTCTTCAATTTTCCTTCTCTATTGAGCCCAAAGCAGAAAAACACAGAATAAGTGGATTTATTTATATATCTATTCAGGGGTTACAGCCCATTTTGACTTCACACTTCTATTTTCTTGACGTTGATGTATGATGCGTTCATGGATCTTCAGCATATTTCAGCAAGGACTGAACAAATTAAAACTTTGATTTTACTGTCACCAATACGTTTACAATACATAACAGTTCTTGGATTATTTGCCTTCCAGCTTAATGGAAAAATCACTAATAAGATCGACCCAAGATCTAAGCCGAGAGATGTTAATGTTATTGACACGCTGACAAAAATGACCGGGCAAAACCAGGCTTTTTTAACGAGGTTCAACAATTCGGGCAATGCCACCGGCTATTCCTTCAACGCCACTAAAGGCTTGGGTTTTGGTAAGAAGATTTTCTTTACATCGATACCTCTTGTAGTTTACTAGCTGAGGCAGTCTCCTTTCCTATTACCCCCTTAAAAGAAATGATCTAAAAGGAAACATTTTATTTAAAAACAATCAAGTCGCAATTTTTCCTGGATTTTCTAGAGTTAAAACTGTATGTATTTCTTCATTAACTCCTCACACCCAAACAACGCTGCATGTGCATATTCTCCCAACTGTTCTGTCTACATTTCCTATGGTAATGACAAGGAGAATTTGTTTTTGAAACAGTCGAGAGCTCCTTTCTTTTATTCTCATGACCTTACAGTGATACTCTAAGGAGTAATTAGCTGCTGGTCACTCTTGCGATTTGAAGGGTTGAGGTTTCTTATCAACGAGCAGATTTTCAGATTCTGTGACATTATTCTTCCTTACGCGTGTGTTATAATAACTCGTACGACACTTACTGTTACAAATTTTAATTTAAACTCCAATGTTCCTTCCTAGTATTGCTGATTAAGAAGCTCGACTGCCACAAAAACAGATCGTTAGCTATTCCTGATCGCTCTGATAAGACGACTAGTCGAACGCTGGCAAAGTTCTCGGATTACGTGTCCTTCAAATTTGACTGCCCATGGATCGTAATAAATGGTAACTGGCAATTTACGGGAGTAACTTTAGAAAATAGAAGCTTTGGTCCCTGTAATTAAGTCATGATCCAACAGCTTTGTATGAAAAAACGTTCTCTCGTCTCTTTTCGTCAACAGCAGTCCCTAACCTCCTAGGTATCGAGCATTTCCTAAAAAA